GTACAAATGGCAAATACATGAAAAAAATATTCAACATCACTGGTCATTCAAGAAATACAAATTAAAATAATGCTGAAAAAAAATTAAAAAAAAAATAATGCTGAGATTCCATCTCAGTCCAGAAAGACTGGCTGTTATCAAGAAATGAACCAACAACAAATGCTGGCGGGGCTGAGGGGAGAAAGTAAACCTTCTCTCTTGGTGGGCATGTAGACTGATGCAATCACTGTGGAAATTCCTCAAAAAACTAGGATTAGAGGTTCCATTGGACCCAGGTATTCCCCTGCTGGGTATCTTCCCAAAAGAATTAAAAGCATCATACCACAGTGATATATGTGCACTTATGTTTATAGCAGCACAGTTTGTAATAGCTTAATCTTGGAAACTACTCCTTCATTCTAAATTGAGTTAGATACCTCTTCTTAGCACTCTGTAATGCCCTGTCCTTATTGCTTGTTATTGCGAATATCTTAAAATTGCCTGTGTAAGAAGCTTTATTATATTGAGAACTCCTTTAGGGAAAGACATTTTTTTTCCTTGCCTCTTAGAATGGTGCTTGGCATGTGGCTGTTACACCATGCATTTATGTAGAACAAATGAATTACCAACTTCTTAGCAGTCTATTGTCTTATTAAACAAGAGTCTATGGTGGTGTTAGTGGAGATGTAGAGAAGGAACTAATTGTAAGAAATATTTGTAAGGTGGAATCAACATTGAGGAACCATTCCCTAAGATGATTGTAAACTACATGAACTACAAACATGTACAAATAAAAAAAAAATTTTTAAACATAGAATAGCAAGTTAGATGGGGAAAGAGTTTGAGATGGGGAAACTTTACTGGTTGTGCCATTATCTGATGGAAGGATTCCAAGGGAGCAACCATGATAAACACAGATTGGGGCATCCTACTTTTTTTTAAGGATGCAGTTAGTAATACTGTATTGTTTACTTGAAATTTGATAAGAGCAGGTTTTAAGTATCTTTACCTCCTCCCTTACACGCAAATGGTAATTATATATGATGATTGGATATATTAATTTATTCATGGTAATCATTTATCCATGTGTATCTGTGTCAGATCATCACAATGTTCTCCTTGAATATATACAATTCTTATTAACTAGACAATTTCTTAAATGTATAGGTGGAGTCTGTCAAGAAAATAATTCAAATATGTATACAGAGCTTGTTGAGAGGTCAGAACAGAGAAAAGCATAGATTTGGAATTATCTACCTGTTAATGGTTTTAAACTATTGGAGGAGATTTTCACCCAAGAAAAAAATGCATGTGTAGCATTTTGAGATAGCTTCATGAATGAGGTGATATTTGAATAATGTGTTTGAGGAAGTTCAAAAGAGTATAGTGAACAGGAAGAATTATTTTGTTTTTTTCAATCATTATGAATCTTCTAGTTTCCTTAATTAATACTTTGCCTTTTGTATGTGATTTTTGCCTTCCTTACTATATAATTAGTTGTCACATTCTAACAATTGTAAGGATTGAATATCTGTTAAAATGTTACTCTCTTCTGGGCCAACTTCAAGATACTGAGTTTTGTCTTGCTGAGTGTTTTCTTTCTTATTGGTATTTTTATATTTATGCCCTAATATCAATGAATTACTGTTGAATTACTGAATGACTGTTGTGATTTGTTGCTTTAGAAAACTTAACCCTTGAAATGTTATGTCTGGCTTCAGTGATTCTTATCATCAACTTGGTCATTGTGTCCCTGTAACAGGAAACTGTTCTCATGTTCCTCCTCACTTTACTATTTATGAGGCTCAGCAAGGCTCTCAACTAAATTCTAAGTGCTATTAATCTTTAATGGCTTCCTCAGGTTTATGTGGGAGTGTGGGCAGGAGGGTATTTTAATGTCTCTGGCAACTCTATTTCATTTTACTGTTTTCCTTTACTTGAATGTCATCTAAGTTTTATATTAATCTTTATAGTACAAAGTTTAAGACTAAGTCCCAAATCAACATTCCTTTCTTAATTTTTCTCCCAATTAGGCTGAGTATGACAGTAACTCAAGTATCTGAGGGGAAAACAAATCTTACCACTTGCTTAAACATGTCTTGGTTTAAACAGCTTTGCTTATCAGTGATAGTGAACCTTTTAGAGTTTTTAGTAATGGAAACAGCTCACTGTGGGATGCATGCCATAGGTTCACCACCACTGGTTTAGGTCTAGAGCTTCAGTATTTCGGAGTAAGAATGAGACTAACAGGTGAGTCATGTTATCTTCATCTATCTTCCATCTTCAGACTGAGACTGGACCTATGTGACTGTCAACTCTCTCTGTGCATAAATATATATTTTCTCTATACCAGTAGCTGTTTACTTTTCTCTACCTAGCACAACAAAAAAGCGCAACGGTAGCAGTGGCATGCTTGACAGTGATTCTTTCCTGGGATTTGGAAGCTTATCAGAATCTCCAGGGGTACTTATAATTTGAGAAAGTCCCCCAGGTGTGATTCTGATTTGCTTCCTTCTCCTCCTCCTTTGAGAATCACTGCTTCATCAGAAGCTTCATCATAAATAAGCACATTTACTATGTTGTCCTTCCATAGTTAAGCTCTTTAATTCCCATATCCCCAGACTTCCCCTTTGAATGATCCCCATCAATTCTTTCTAATTCTGTAACTTCTGAAACCAATATCTCCCTGTCACCGAAGGAGTAGCTACCACTAAATTGTCCCTATTAGTGTTTAGAAACCTACAAAGCAAGGAGGTCTCCACAAGCTTGAAAGCCAAGTTTAACTGTGTGGGTTACTTAAATGAGAACCCTTTGCAAGAGACACTTAAGTCTAGGGCTTATACTACTAGCACTCCTCTCTGTTTTATTGCAACATTTTATGATGAAAATTTTCAAACTGGTGTCAAAGGTGAATTTAAAGTGAACAACTATATACACCTATAACCCAGGCTTCACAATTAACATTTTAATATACTTGCTTAATCACATATCTACCCAAATATTCATCCCTCTATTTTTTCACACTGAACTATGTCCCCAGCCTTTTTTATTTTGAGACGGAGTCTCCCTAAGTCACTAAATTGCCCAAGCTGGCCTCAAACTCTCCATCCTCCTGCCTCAGCCTCTCAGTGTTGGGATTATAGGCATGCACCACCATGCCCATCCTTCTATCTCTTAATTTACCTTTTTATGCATTTCACAGTATATTGCAGATATCTATAAAATTCTCCCTAAATACTTCACTATGTAATTCACTCGTTCAGTGTTTTTCTAGTGTTTTTTTTTTGGTGTAAAATTTACAGTGAAATGTGCAAATCTTAATTGCTCATTAGCTGAGTTTTAACAAATGATAAATCTGTATAACCAAAATCCTTGTTGAGATATAGAACATTTTATACCCCCTTTTCTTCTGCCCACATTATTTCTTCTTGACTGTCTATAGTCTCTCAGTTGAGGGTAAGAAAGAGGCTAATCAGTACTTACAAGACAAAAGAGATCAGTGTGTAATAGTAGATCAGTAGATTTCTCTTCTCCATTGCCTGAATTACTTTGTTTTTCAAATTGTTTATGGATGTTTCAAAACAGAAGACTGAATGTGAAACTTTTTTAGTTATTAAACAATTATTTGGAAAATAAGCATAACTACTTTATATCTAGTTAAGTATTTTGTAAGACAGCTACAGTATAATGAAATGTGGGTAGGTATCACAGGGGAAAGGAAGTAGAAATGAGATATAAAAATCAATTTCATTAGTATAGCAAATGTTATATTTAAAAGGGGTAAAAATATATATTATGCATATATAACATCATTAGACATCATAGTCTTGAAAACAGTGCTATGTCATTTATTCCATAATACCAGCAAAACAATCTGCCTTTAGGAAGTACAAATTAAATTCCTATGACTATTGGGCTCAAGTGTTTATTATTTTATTTTTAAAGCATTTCTGCCTGGTAAATATCAGGTATTTTGCTTATTTAGAGCAATTGAGCATACATTAATTTACATCAATATATTTTAAATACAAGATTGAAATTGTTTGCATTTTATGCAGAGCAATATTTTTCTAGTAAAGTAATTCTGGTTCCAAAAGAAAAAGCTGTAACAAAAGTAAATTGATATTTCCATAATAAAAAGATGTGGCAAACAGTCATTTGCATATAGTTCTTGAAATATTACATACTGGCTTTGAAGTCCATTTCAAGGATGTCACCCTTAGTCCATTAGTTTGGATAATGAGCCCTGTAAAGTACATTTATAACTTGTGGCACTGCAAGGAGATAGATTCTAATTTCCATCCTTTTATCTAGATACACTGAAAGAAGGTCAATGGAGGGTTCTGTATGATTCATTGTCTCAACACATATCAGATGACAGAGACCTGATATTGTTCGTGCATTAAGTGTTTTCCTTATTTAGAAACAGCACTTGAAAGAAATCTTTCTATGATCATCCTTTGAAGTACAGTGGAAACAGTTATTAAAAGAAGCTCTATCCCTTTCTTTCCTGTTTAAAACATTATCAAATACATGACTAGACAGCTGTTCTTCAACAAAAGAGAAAGCAACATTTAACAGAAAAATGAAAAGCCTTTAGTGGCTTTTATAGGCTGTGAATGACATAACAAGATATTTAATCAACTTTTTCTCTCTCTTAAAACTGTTAAGGGGGAAAAAAAAGTATTTTCTAAAAGAAAAAGCATTTGTGTTACTAGACATAAGGAAAGTTTTTAATTACACTTATAATTATTTGCCCTAACTTTACTCTTGGTTATTAATGACAATCAAAATAAATATTAAGTTGTAGCCTCTATTCATGTTGTAGTTTTTAAAATGTCAAAACAGCAACAATAACACATATTCTGTAATCAGTATCAATTTTATGTCAGAAAATGTGGAATTGTGGGCAGTTCTTTAATCTTCACAGGTATTTGATTCAAAGTCAATAGCTGATTTTATTCATTTTCTCAATTAGTCATTATTGTGAACTTTTTTCATTGTGCTTATCTTCTTTGTAGATGTAAAGCAATCATAGATCAGTTTGGTCAGAGAATAAACTCTAAGCATTTCCTTGTGGAGGACAGTTACTTTTCTGAGAACACGTGCTCACATGTGCAATACAGGTAAGACACTCCTCCATCTGCTAGCCAAGGGAAGGTGAAATAGCACTGTGATTATATTGACATGTCTCCATGATTCTGTTCATGCAAAGGTGTGCCAAACCAAAGATACATTCAAAGCTACTACTCTTCTTTTATGGAGTCTAATTTGAGGGAGCCTTATATAATTTCTTTTTACATCAGCTGTGGTTTGTCTTTAGGTCACATATCCCTCTTCTGTGAGCCAAGAGAAGATTAAAGCAAAACTTCACTTGGTTTTTGAAGGTGTCACTTTTATCCTGAGATAAATCTTTGAAACATGCCTTCTGCTGGTTATATAACTCTAAATGAAATTTATTGATGCATTCTGAATCACTGCTTTACTCTTGTGTTTTACAGGCAAATCTCCAGGGCAGTCCTAATTACAGATAGGTCTGTACTAAAACCAGATTCAGATCAACAGGTAAATGCAGTCCTATAATTTTAAAATAAATTTGTGTATGTTAAGATGGAAAATACAGTGTTCTGCTATTCATGGGGAACTGATTGCTACTGTCAAGCTAATTAACATACTTATTTTTTTTACATAGTTACCTTTTTTGTGGTGAGAATACTTATCATCTGCTTTTATCAAATTTAAATATACAATATATTATTTACTGTAGCCTTCATGCTGTACGTTAGATCTCTATTCCATTTCACCCACTCCCTAACCCCTGACGACCAGCATTCTATTCTACTTCTATGAATTTGACTTTTTTAGTTTTTACACATAAGTAAGATTAAGTAAGATTATTTTTACACATACATAAGATTATGTAGTTTTTGTGCCTGACAATTTCACTTAACAAAATGTTCTCCTTGTTCATCTATATTGTCCTTCCCTCTTTTTTAGGGATGAATAATACTCCATGTATTATATACACATGTGGTATTTTTTAATTCATTCATTGATTATACCCTTAGGTTGTTTCCTATATTGGCTGCCAGGAACAATATTATAAGGAACATAGGTCTGCAGATATCACTTTGAGATATGGATTTCATTTCCTTTGGAGATACACCCAGAAACAACTTTGTTAGATCATACTTATTTCTGTATTTTAATTTTTTGTTGAAACTTCTTATTGTTTTCTGTAATATGGTACCATTTTACATTCCCACCAACAGTGTACAAGGGTTCCCATTTATGCATATCCTTACCAGCATTTGATAGCTCTTCTTTTTTATTATAGCCATCTCACAGGTGTGAAGTAGTATCTGAGAATCTAGTAGTTTTTAATGCAGTCTACAGAGCAATGTGTATATATCAACATGGGTGAAGTATACTAGTACTTTTTAAATACATTTTGAAAGTACATAATGCCAGTAATATAATATCTTTGGTTTCCTAAGGATTTCTCTCTAGTGGAATAAATAATTGACTCTTGTATAATAGTTTTATTCTATAAAAATTAAACTTAACCCTTGTTTTGACAATTGTTTCTGTGAAATTGAAAATGTAGTGTTATGGGAAGAAAAAGAGAATCCCCATCGAATACATTTGAAAATCTTAGAACAAAAAGCCATGTAGTAGGCAACTCTGTAGGAATCCCAGAAAGCCATTAGGCCTGCTATGATTTAATTTTAGCACACAATCCCTGTGACAGTATTTCTTCATCACGATTGTTCATTTCAGTACCTCCTTCTTAGCTCCAATTCCATAGGAGTGTCTTTATGCCTATCATTTTTTATCAGTCCAAGCATCTAAGTTCCAGGGGTTCTTTCTTTTTCAGAATATATTTTATAGCGACTAAGCTCACTCAGGTGTGACTTTCAGTTCTATATGCTGCTGCTAAAAATAGGCTCCTAGAATTCCTTAAATTAGAAGTTCCTTATTATATAAAACAAATACATGACTAGATAAAATTAATTGTCCATGTTTTTATTGCTAATAAATGAACACTGCATAAAAGGAACATCAATTGTGTCTTATACATGCAAGCATAAATGCTCCTTTCATTTAATCATGTATTAAACAAGTGCCTTTTGCCTGCCAATTAGTGTGCTAGATTCTGAGAAGATAGCCATAACCAAAATAGCATCCCTGCCCTCAAATAGCATGCAGTCTGGAAGATACAGATGCAGACAAATAGAAAGTACAGTTCAGGATGACAAGTGTGAACATGGGTGTAGTAAAGCTGTAGCAGCTATTGTATCACTTATCACACTAGCCTCTCTTTGCCCATTGACTTTGCAAATGGATCAAAGAGTAACATGGAGGCAAAAAAATGAAGAGAGCAAATAAAGACAACTTGTGGAAGAAGCTAAGCTATAAGTAGTAAGAGAAGGAGGAATGATTGATGGAGCAAAGTCTGTGCAGAGGTTGGGGAGGATGAGATTCAGAGAACAGGTAAAAGCATTACCCTTAGATGAAATGTGAATTACATTGAAACAAGAGTAAGCACGGGCTGGGGATTTAACTCAGTGGCACCGTGCCTGGCTTACAAGTGCAAGGTCCTTAGTTTGATCCCTGGTACAAAAAAAAAACAAAAAAGAGAGAGAGTTGGTTCCGCCACCTGGGCCTTGCAAGTCCAAGGTCCTGAGTTCCATCCCCGGTACCGAGAGAGAGGGAGAGGGGGAGAGGGAGAGCGAGAGGGAGAATTTATAGGTTTGAGAGTTCCCATCTCATGGGTACCATTTTTAAACTACATAATAAAGTTATCACCTGAGGATGAGGGTGTACAAATGGGTCACAGTTCAAGGAAATATATAAAATAGCCACTGCAGGACACTGAAGTTTTGACCTCTCTTCTGGTCATACTGTGGAGCAATGCTAATGGTCAGGTTTGAAGATCATGGATTTATGATGCCATTAATCTGCTCCCAGTCTTCCAGCTCTTTTATTCTCTTATATCCAACTTGTTAAGAGATCCACAAACCCCATCCCCTCTGTTTCTTCCCAGTTTATAATCTCCCTTCTGCCCCCTTCATTTTCTCTGCCCTGGATATCTTCTGAATTGCCCTTTGTCCAACACCTTCAGTCCCCATGTTTCCATATCTTGTGACTGTACTCACAGAGGGGTTTCCTGTTCCTGGGTCAGGCTATAATCTGCACCTGGATCACTGATGGCTGCTTGCAAAAAACAACATTACTACAAAGTTACAAGTGCCAACCTCATTCAGCTGCCTAAGCACCTACTACCAGTCAACTCTTCCACTGGCCTCAGTTAGCTCCTGCTCGTTTTCCATGCTGTGACTAGTCTTGGGCATCACTATTTACTCACTCTACTCCTTCCTTCCTTGTCTTCCCTGCCTCACTGGGAAGAAATAAGGCTACTCACCATGTATAATGACCCTTCATTTCCAATCCTGCCATCCATATCAGCCCAGGGCCACCTTCCTTCACAAGTGCCCTTGATACATGAATACATACACGCATGCATACATGCCACACTCTATTGCCTTTTCTCTGTCATACTTTCAGACTCTTACCTGTATCTTCTCTTCCATGTGTGTCACACACACACACATACACACACACACAAACACACACACACTAGCAGCCTTCATTTCAAAAATAAAAAAACATTTATTCCCTTGGCTCTGCCCCTACCTCTAACTTGTCCTCTCCCCTTAGTGAACATTTTCAAGACACTATCTGTACTTGCTGCCTCCAGTTGCTTACCTCCCATTCATTTCTAAACAACACCAACCTGACTATTACCCTTACATTTCCATCACAATTTCTCTTGCTAAGTTCATTAATAATACCATAACAGTCAGGGTCAGGGGACATGTTTTTGCTCTTATCTACTAGGACTTTTCTCGTGTATTTGACAAATGTTATTATTCCCTTTCTCTTAAAGCTGTACTCCTTGGCCTTCATGACATTGTACTTTCCTGGTTCTTCTTATGACTGACTATCTATCCTCTTTTGGCTTCCTTTCTGGACTCTTCTTTCTCTACCCCTGTCCTTAAATATTGTGGCTCCTCAGGATTCCCCTTTTATCCCACAGTATTATTTTGCTCTCTGCACATTCACTAGATGACTCTATGAATTCTCATTGTTTGAACTATGCATAAATGGTGGTGCAGGCACTTATACATATATTACAGGAATGTTTGGCCCATGTACCAAACTTTCTGCATGGCCTCTGTCAAGTGGCACACACTTAATGAGTTCACCATCTTCCCTCTCAAAACTGCTTCTCATCTAATGCTTCCTTCCTCCCAGAACAGTGCTGATATCCTTCCAACAACAATAACTTTCCCCCCCTCTGACATCTCAGCAGCCTTGAGTTCCTGTCAATGTAACTTTCTGAAAGTTGGTTTGAGAAACTTTTCTTTCCTATCAATCTTATTGTCACTGTTCCCATTATAGACCTCGTCACCTCTGCCTTTTAACTGGTCATCCTGCCTCTCATCTTGTCTCTTTCAAATCCATCCTCCACAGAGCTATCACAGTCTCTATCTTTCTGTCTGATGGGAAAAAAAAGGCTTAGAGAAAAGAAAGAATAAGTGGAAGTTAAGGTAAATTTTATGGCAATGGTAATAGAGGGTGGAGGGAATCCTTTTATTAACTGAGACTTGAGACTGTTAATTTCTCAGAGTTTAGGTGACAGAGGTACTCTGGTAGGAGGTTACTGATTATATCTTAATAAAAAACATGATAGTTGCAGGAACAAGAAGAAGTCTTATATATTCATAAAGTCCTTGAAATACTTTTCCTTATGATCATAATTTTAGTCAGTGTCTTAGTTGCTTCTTTCTCTTTAATGCTAAAGTACATTTTCTGTCATAAGTATCATCAAAGGGAGTTAAGAGGAACATGAAGAACTCAGTCTTTGAGATATCTTGAGCCCAAAATTACACATCAAGTAGGATAGCCATGATTATCAAATAATTTCTAATTTTAGAATTTTTGTAGATGTTTCCTCTGTGGTCTATCAATACTACATTCCCAGTCAAAATTAAGTATAGCACTTGTAAGGAAAAGTGCCATTTGGTCTTTCTCTTTGGGCAGCATTCCCTCCGTGAGAGAATATAATTTCCCCAGATTGCAGATTAGATTGAGGATTAGTATTGAAACCTTAGCTCTACAGAGAAACATTGATCTGATGGTCATTTAAAGTCTTTCACATATAAAGCCATATAACAAAACAGTAGTGGCTGGGAAAGCATACCACATATCAATAAATAGTATTTTGTAGTAATTTTACATTTCACTTTTGATTCTGAATTTCTAGTTTGATAGAGTCCTTCATTAAATTTGAAAACATTCATTTTGAAATGTTTTGGTATGTATTTACTTTGCACATTTTAACATGTGGGTGACTCGTGACATGTTTAATTTTTAGTGCTTTGTTACTGCTATTTTTTAACCCTTATGTATAAGCAAAAGTGAATTCATATTATCTGATTTTTAAACTATTTTTAAACATCTATTTCAGAATTAATAAATTATAATCGCATCCTTTGAAAATAGTTGAATTTAATAAATATTGAAGATTTCATATATTTTATGTCAGTGAGAATTATAAACACAATATATCTGATATGAAAATGTAAAAAATGTAGACTTTGAATATGAAGGCACATATATGCATATTATATATTTCAAAATTAAATTCCTACAAGCTAAATTTTTTTCAAAAACCAGGGATATTTGGAAGTTTAAAAGTTAGCATCCTAGGGCCGGGGATTTAGCTCAGTGGTTCCAGCGCCTGCCTCTCAAGCGCAAGGTCCCGAGTTCGATCCCCAGTACCAAAAAAAAAGACAACAATAAAAGTTAGCATCCTAATGGTAGAAGAATGAAAATGAAGTCTAACAATTTTATCTAATTTTTTTTCTGGTTTTTAGATTTCCATTTTGACAGTACCATTAGAGGAGCCAAAAACTTTTGTAGTTCGGGTCATTGAGTTATGTTCTTCAACAATGACATGCATGAAAGGCACCTGTAAGTATAGTAGAGTTGCATTATTTGTCATTTTTGTTTAGGGAGTAAGGGACATAGCTATTGTAGTTGCACGGTTGTGTTTATAGAGATTTTCTCTTTTATGATTCATAGTACTTGTTCATGTAGTGTATGACCATACAATAAGTTATTTCATATCTTCCTGTTGCCTCAAAACATTTCTATACAGGTTATATCTTCACAGGCATACTTTTCTAGTTTTCAAATGAAATCACTTCTATATAACTTTATAATTCTGTAGTTTTTCTTAAGTTTATTAGAAACTTACTTTCACAAAATTTATTTTAACTTCAGTTTCTTCTTTATCCCTTACTCTTTTAAGGATACTATAATAAAATATAGATAATTTATAAGCAACAGTAATTTATTTTATACAGTTCTAAAGATGAGGAAGTCCAGGATCATGGTATCAGTAGATTCTGTCTGTTGAGGAGCCCATTCCTTGTAGGTGGTACCATCTATGTGTCCTTAAATGGTGGAAGGAAAGAACATGGTCCTTTGGACCCCCATTTTTAAAAATTTTATTCACTTATTTGTGATTATATAAATTTATTTTCTGGTATATAAAAACAAAAATTATATATATTAATGGGTTAATGTGATATTTTGATGTATGTATATGTTATATAATGTTTATATCAGGTTAAACATACCTAACTCCTCATTTATTATTTCTTTATAGTGAAAACTTTCAAAATCCTTTCTTCTAGCTTCTTCAAATATATAGTACATTATTCTTATCTGTTTTCACCTTGCTGTGCAGTAACATGCCAGAACTTCTCACTCCAATCTAACCCTAACTAAATATCAACCTTTCCTCATTGCTCCTCATTCCTACCTTCCCAGACATGTAACCATTATAGACCCAATTTTTTATGTCAACTTTTTTAGATTCCACATATTAGTGAGATTGTGTAGTACTTGCCTCTCTGTTCCTGGCTTATTTTCCTTAACATTGTGCCCTTTAGGACCATCCATGTTATAGCAAATGACTGTAGTCCATTCTTTTTGGTTAATATTTCATTGTGTACATGCAGCCTTTTTCTTTTTTTAATCTATTCATCAGTTGATGGGCATCTAAGTTCCTATTTCTTATCATGTGTAGTGGTGTGGCGCAAGAACAGTAGGAGTGCAGATATCCCTTCAACGTACTAATTTTGTTTTCTTTTGTTATATACCAAGTAGTGAGATTCCTGGTTCATACGTTATTTCTGCTTTTAATTTTTTAGGAATCTTTATATTGTTTTTTGTAGTAGCTCTAATAATTTCTGTCTCCACTAGTTTGCAGTAATTCCCTTCTCCATATCTTTACCAGCATCTGCTGCTGTTCTATTGTTTTTGGATTTGTTTGTTTTTTGCTTTTTTGATAATAGCTAGGTAACTATGGTAAGATGATATCTCATTGGTATTTTGATTTGTATTTTTAATGATTAGATACATAGAGTATATTTTCACGTACTTGTCCATTTCCACTTCGTCTTTCATGAAATTTTATTCAGATCATTTTCCCAGTATTTAATTGGGTTACTTGTGGGTTGGTTGATTGACTGATTGATTGATTGATTATGGTATTATTGACTTTCTGGGGTTCTGAATATCAATCCCTTTTCAGAAGTGTAGTTTGTAAACATTTTCCCATTCTTTAGAGTTGTCTCTTCACTCCGTTGATTGTTTCTTTTGCTATGTAGAAGCTTTTTAGTTTGATATAATCTTGTTTGTCTATTTTTGCTTTTGTTACCAGTGCATTTGGGGTTTTGTCCAAAAAACTTTGTTAACTTCAGGGACCTAAACCATCTCATTATTTTCTTCCAATAGTTTCATAGTTTCATATCATACATTTAAGGATTGAATTCATTTTGAGTCTGTTTTATGAGTGATGAGACAAAGTTCTAGTTTAATTTTTCTGCTTATGGATACCCATTTTTCCCAATACCATTTATTGAAAAGACTGTCCTTCCTCTAATGTGTGTTCTTAGCATATTTATCAAAAATTAACACATTCGTAGAAAATCCGTAGATGTTTGGGTTTACTTCTAAGCTCTCTGTTCCATTGGTCTCTGTGTAGTTTTTATTTCAATACAATATTGTTTTGATTACTACAGCTTTATAGTATGTTTTGAAGTCAGGTACTACTATGCCTCTTGTTTTGCTTATTTTTTGCTCAAAAAAATGGCTTTGACTATTTGAAGGTTTTTTTATGATTCCATATAAATTTTAGTATTTTGTCTAATTCCAGGGATTGATATTTTGATAAAGATTATATTGAATCTATGGATTGCTTTGTGTACTGTTACAGTTTGTATCTAGATGTTCCCCTAAAGCCTCATGCACTCATAGGTGGGGCTTTGGAAAAGTGACTGGATCATGAGTATGTGATAATCATCATTGGATTAGTCCATTGATAAGTTTATAGCTGGGTGTGATGTTGGGAGGTGAAGTCTGGTGGGAAGCGGTGGGTCCCTGTGGGTGTGGCCTGAAGGGTATAGCTCCCTCCTCGTCCCTTGATGCCACTCTGCATCCTTCCTGCCTTACATAAGCAATTCTCCTCTGCCTTGGAGCCAGCCAACTATGAACTGAAATCTCTACAAACTATGACCCAAAATAAACCTTTCTTTCTTTAAGTTATGGACCTCAGGTTCTGTGTCTCAGCAACAAGAAAGGAACTAAGAGAGGTACTGTGGATGTATTAACTATTGATTATTTCAATCCATGACCACAGTATGTCTTTATCTTTTAGTGTCTTCTTCACTGTCTTTTATCAGTCCTATATAATTTCCATTGTAGAGATCTTTCACTTCTTGATTTAATTTATTCCTAGGTATTTTTTTCTGTAGCTATTGTAAGTAGGATTCCTTTTTGGATTTCTATTTCAGATAATTTTTTATTGACATATAGCAGTACAACTAAATTTTGTATATTGGTTTTTATAGTTTGCAACATTGCCGAATTCATTTATTTCAATAGTTGGAGGGGCTTTATATAAGATCCTTTTGTCTACAATGAAAATTTGATTTCTCTTTTCCAATTTTGGGGGGGTTTTTTTTGTTTTTATTTTTGGTACCGGGAATTGAACTCAGGACCTTCCGCTTGCAAGGCAGGCAGTGGCACCACTGAGCTAAATCCCCCGCCCTCTCTTTTCCAATTTTTATGACCTTTATTTCTTTCTCTTTCCAGATTGCTGATTAAAAGGATGAAATTGGGCATCTTTGTCTTGTTCCAGAACTTAGAAAGATTGCATTTTTCCCCTTTCAGTATGTTAACAGTTGAGTTATTATAAATGGCTTTTATTATATTGACATTCATTCCATCTATACAATGGCTACCAGTATTTGTCAGATAAACTGTAAACAGTTTACTTCCCATTTACGGAAGGTTTGTTTCCATTTTTCCCCTTATATGTTCTTTTTTTAAATTCCTTTTCCCTTCTTTCCCTCCCGCCTCCCTAGTTCACCTTCCCATTTGAACTTGCTTCTCCTACTTCCCAATATCCTCCATTTCTCTCCGTATTTACCATTTGACTTTTTCACACGATAGAAACAATGTGATACTTAAATTTGTGTGTCTAATTTATTTCACTTAAAATTATGGTCTTAAGATGCATCCATTTACTTAAAAATGTCTCCAGTTTATCCTTCTTCATGTCAGAGTAATACTCCATTGTATATAAAAACCATATTTTCTCTTTTTTTCCATTCAGTTTATTGGTGCATTTTAGGTATACATTATGATCGCATTCATCATTGGGAATTTGTACTTGTACATGATATACCTTGGTTCTTCTTTTTTCCCATTCCCCTTCCTTCCCCTCCACCCTTCCCTATTTATAAAAACTTTTGTTTTCATTTTTTTCTTCTTTTCTCAAATTCTCCTCCTTCTTTCTTTTCTCCCCCCCTCCCCACTTCCCCTTCTGTTTTGGACCTTTTCTTCCTATTTTACGTTATCTGTTATACATTTTGGTACTTATTGACATTTTCATTTTCTCACACCAGGGAAATTTCAGTTATTACACATGTATGTCCTATTTATTTCACTTAAGAGCATGGCCTCAAAGTGCATCCATTTAGCTATAAATGTCTCTTGTTTATCATTCTTTATGGCTGAGTAGTACTTCATTTTATAAGAAGAAAACACATCTTCTTCCCCCACTCACCAGTTGATGGGCATTTGGGATGTTTCCAAGTTTTAGCTATTACAAGCTCTACTGCTGGAAACATAGGTGTGCATATATCACTATGGTATGATGCTTTTAATTCTTTTGGGGAGATGCCCAGTAGGGGAATAGCTGAGTCAAATGGGACCTCTAATTCTAGTTTTTTGAGGACACTCCACACTGATTTCCACAGTGGTTGCACCAGTCTACACTACCACCAGCAGTGGAGAATGGTTCCTTTTTTCCCACAGGCCCACCAGCATTTGTTGTTGGTTGTTTTCTTTTTTCTTTTTTTTATTTTTGGTACTGGGGAATGAACTCAGGACCTTGTGCTTGCAAGGCAGTCAATGGCACCACTGAGCTAAATCCCATTGGTTGTTTTCTTGATAGCATCCATTCTTTCTGGGGTGAGATGGAATATCAGTGTTGTTTTCATCTGCATCTCCTGAATGACCAGTGATGTTGAACATTTTTTCATGTTTGTTTGCTGCTTATACTTCTTCCTCTGAGAATGTCTATTCATTTCAGAAGCCCATTTTTAGATTTAGTCTTTTAACTTGGGGGGGGGGTCTGGATTTTTTAAGTTCTTTATATATTCTACATAGTAGTCCTTTGTCTGAGGAATAGGTGGTAAAAATTTTTCCCACATTGTAGGTTGTCTCTTCACACTGTTGGTGATTTATCTTTCTGTGCAGAAGCTTTTTCATAAGATGAAATCCCAGTTGTTGATTCTTTCTACTAGTTCCCATGCTACTGAGGTTTTGTTCATAAAGTCTTTTCTTGCATCAGTGTCTTCAAGAGTTTTACTTAACCTATCTTCCAGCAGGTTTAG